TTTTCTCTGTATAGCTTTGGAGTCTGTCCTGGAACTCACTCTGTAGACCAGGCTGGCCTCGAACTCACAGAGATCTGCCTCCTGAGTGCTGGGATTAAAGGTGTGTGCTACTACTGCCCAGCTCCTCCACTATTTTTTAATTGAGACAAAGTCTCATTTACCCCATGCTATGTAGCCAAGGATGCCCTTGAATTTCTGGTTTTCTCTATCTACCTCCTCGCTGCTGGGATTATAGGCATGGACCACCAAATCTGGTTTTATGTATTCCCCTGGATCCTTTGGAGCTGGGATATCTAGTGTAGGACCCAGCCACGACAAACCCAATAGAAGCCCGAGTCTCAGTACCTGGATCCAAGAAAGCCCACAAACTGAGACTATTCAGGCACCAGGAACAGACCCTCGAAAGGAAATTCCTAACATTCCAACCATTGCAGATAGGATCACCTGCCAGCACACACCCATCACTTTTCACCAGGACACCCCTAGACAAATATCAATCAGGGGTCCTAGCCAGGCGGTGGTGGCGCACGCCTTTAATCCCAGCACTCGGGAGGCAGAGGCAGGCGGATCTCTGTGAGTTCGAGACCTGCCTGGTCTACAGAGCTAATTCCAGGACAGGCTCCAAAGCCACAGAGAAACCCTGTCTCAAAAAAAAAAAAAAATCAGGGGTCCTGAACCTTAGAAATCACTCATCCCAACCTTTACTACTATAAAAACCCAACCCCAAGTGCGCTCGAGGCACACTGAGAGTCTGAGTTCAAACTTGAATAATAAAGGTTCTTTGCTTTTACATATAGGACTTGGTCTCTTAGTTGGTTTTTTGGGTACTCTGTGATTTGGACATAACATCTGGCTCGTCATGTGGGTGCTGGAATCTGAATCCAGAACACCTCAGGATTGCACAGCAGGTTTTTGTAACTCCTTAACTCCTTTAGGCCCTGGGGAAATTAAAAATGTGTGTGTACGTGTGTATAGGGTGCAGGTCTGATTGAACTCAGGTTGTCAGGTGTTTATTTACTTATTTTATTATGTACAGTGTTCTGTCTGCATGTATGCCTGCAGGCCAGAAGAGGGCGCCAGATCTCATTATAGATGGTTGTGAGCCACCAAGTGGGAATTGATGGGAATTGAACTCAGGACCTCTGGAAGAGCAGCTAAAGCTCTTAACTGCTGAGCCACCTCTCCAGCCACCCCCCACCTTAGGGAAATTCTTAAACTCCCTTGCCTCAGCTTCCTCATTGTTAGTACGGGAGAACTGAAAACAGGCTTGCATTTCTCACTCGGTCTTTCCAATTTTTCTGATCGCTTGTGCTGGCTGAGCGACTTCATGGAGCTTGCTCTTCAGACCTGCTTCCCTGTGTGGTAGAGGGAGATACTGTGTCAGGGTGGTGCTGGCTCACCTGTTTGCTTCTTGCCTGCCAGTCACTGGCATGACTGCCCTTGGGTGGTTCTCCAGTTCTCTGGCTCCCCTCTATGAAGTTGGTGCAGCTGGTGCCATTGTCTGGACTCAGCATGTTTGCCTAGGAAAGGAAAGGGCTTCGAGATGTATCTCAAAGTGGAGATGGTGATGTTACACATGGCCTGCTGTTGGGACTTCTCCAGGGCTAGCCAAGCGTTTGGGGTAATTCCAGCACGGCTTGTATTCACTTGTGTTGGAAGAGCACAGTTTTTGTCTTGTTCAGAGGTTTCTCTCTGGCACTACAGGCTGATAGTGCACTCCTTCCTTGCAGGTGTATTATGAATCATCAGGGGCTCTTATCTGAGTTGAATGGGGATGACATTCTGCCCTGTTAGGAAGTCCGTGCATGTCTGTGCACATGTGAGGTATGGTTCAGGGGTGAAGCTGCTTGCTGCTGAGCCTGATGGTCTGACTTGATCCCCAGGACCCATGAATGAGGGGAGAGCCAACTCTGACGGCTGTTCCATCCTCCCTCTATTCTTCACGGGGTGCTGAGAGCAATCACAGGGTAAATGCACTACCACTGAGTTACATCACCGCTTTCAGGTCCTCTGATCTCAGCAGGGTAACCATGCTGCCTGCCCAAGATTAGAATTATTATCCAGACAATGACCAGCATTTGGGGGGAAAACCACTCCTGTATCCATTTGGGAACTACATTTTATGATACTGTCACAAAATGAAATGCATAACTCTGTGGTCAATCTTACATTTAAAGGAACTGCCAGCTGGGCGGTGGTGGCGCACGCCTTTAATCCCAGCACTCGGGAGGCAGAGGCAGGTGGATCTCTGTGAGTTCGAGACCAGCCTGGTCTACAAGAGCTAGTTCCAGGACAGGCTCTAAAACCACAGAGAAACCCTGTCTCGAAAAACCAAAAAAAAAAAAAAAAGAAAAAAAAAGAAAAAGAAAGGAACTGGAGGGGCCAGTTCTGGTGGCACAGACTGGTAGGATTTGCTGAAGGAGGCAGAGGCAGGAGGATCAGGAGTTAAAGGCCAGCCTGGATTACAAGAAAGAAAAAAAAAAGGAGACGGAGGGATGGCTCAATAGTCAAGAACACTTGATTTTCCAGAGGACCCAAGTTCAGGACCTACTTGGCGTGGTTCCAAACTCCCTGTAACTCCAGCTCTGGGGAATCTGAGACCTTCTTTTGGTTTTCTACACAAACACACACACACACACGAGCATTTACTCTCACACATATACACATAGAAAACAAATTTTAAAGTGTCCCTGTAATGTCTCCTCCAACCCCATCTTTGTCACTTGGGAGCTTCGTATAGCAGCAAGCAAAGGAATATTCAAGTCAGAATGTAAGGTGTTCCAGAATTATGCATCTTTGACAATTTTTCAGTTTATGTGAATGACTGTTTTGCCTACATGTGCAGGATGCAAATCAGCAGGGTAGAATAGGGCATTGGATTCTCTGGAGCTGGAGTGATAGATGGTGTAACTTTGTTACACATGTAGGTGGTGGGGACCAAACCTGACCTGAGTTCTCTGCAAGAGCAACAAGTGCTCTTAACCACTGAGCCATGTCTCTAGTCCCTATCTCAAACAGTTTAACTACGGCTTGGATGCCTTATCATTGGTGGTGGCAAAGGTGCCACCAGGTTCCACCCGAGATTCTCTGGCGCTGCACCCACCCTCATCCCTTCTTATGGTTACAGCTCCAGGGCATCCTCCTTTTGTTTACTAAGTAATGTTTTTCTGCACCTTCGTCTCAAACTGCCACCTCTCCTTGATTGGAACTTTCTAGTTCTCCCAATTTCAGGTGGAAACTTTCTGGTTCTGCCTACCAGACACCCAGGATACTCGGACAAAACTCGTTTTTAAGGAGCTCATGTATCCTGGGGCTGTCTTCAAAGCTGCTGTGTAGCTAAGCATGTCCTTGAACTTCTGAACCTCTTATGTCTGCCTGAGCTGGGATCATCTGGTGTTCGGTTTACGTGGTGCAGTGGTACGGGGTGACGTCCTCAGCCTGGAACCTGAGTTCTTCGGTTTTCAGGGTCTTATGCACGAAGTCCCTGGAACAATGAAACTTTCTTGCCTTTCCCTCAGGCAAGTTGCTCTTTAAACCGGCGCCCTAAATCTTATCATTAGAGTTCACATTTCCCCTAAAGAGCACCACACTGTTCTGATGGGGACACTGGAGCTCACTGTTCCAACATTTTATCTTATCACTTGGTGTTTGTTGAGTTAGCAGTACGCTAAACAGGTGTGGGTCATCTACGTATTCATATATACTTTCAGTATTCCATGTAATTATCCAAAGTCAAGACAGATGCTGGAAACGCTAATAGCTCATTAAATCCTCACGCTAGGAGGTAGGTGCGCTGTTGGCTGCTATTTACAGGTAAGGCCATTTGAGACGCAGGGGTTAAGTGATTTGCTTAAAATCAACCACCTGATAATTGGAGCCAGTCCAAGGTTCAGGCCGTGAATCCTGCCCGGGCGTGACAAGGACACACAGTTCTGCCTCCGTGCTTAGCGAAGGCTGTGCTCGCGGGTAGGTACGAGAATGGCTGTTAGAAAGCCGTGGTCACAAGACACAATTCCCACAAATGACCTTGATGGGTCGGCGGGTCGTCGCAGAGAGGAAGAAGGAAAGACAGCCCCCCCCCCCCCCAGTACCCTGTAGCTGCATCCCAAGCTGGGGAGAGACCCGGCGAAACCACCCTAGACTGTTTACGGATGCAAACATCCCCGTTAAAAGTCACGCAGACTTTCCCGTGGGAAGAGCATCCGTCCTTCGCTATTTTGGAACCAACAGTCCGGTCGATTGGGGTCAGGCTCTAGTCTTTTTCTGCTCGCTGCCTAAGAAATCTTAACAATGGCCATGTTTAGTTCTGTTCACCCCTCTACGTCAGAGCTCAAGTCAGCGCACACTGGCCGTGGTGAAACAGATCCGGTTAGGTCAGGAGCCTGGCGTGGTAATTACGGGAATGGTCTGGAACTCTTCCACCACCTCTCCCAACTTCAGGTCCCGTCAGGATCGACACCCGCGGTCCCAGCCCCCTTTCCACCGGCCAAGTCATCCCCAACCCGCAGACTCCGTCAGCTGCACAGCACAGGACATCTCTTAACGCTCCGCAGGCCCGGCCGTCCTCCCGCACGGCTCCTCCCCAGCCGCGGGGTCTCCGGGCCCAGGTGACCGTCCTCCCAGGTCTCCGCCCCCGCCCCACCCCCGTCCCACCCCCGCCGGCCTCCCCGCACAAGCTCGGCTCGTCTCCGCCGCACAAAGGCCGGCGGCCGCCTCACCGCGCGCAGGAATCCGGGCCACGCGCGCTCCCCCGCCTCGCCCCGCCCCGCTCCAAGGACGCAGGGCCTCGTTGGCTCCACCGCCCCCTCGCGCTTCACGCTCCCGACGCGCAGGACGCGGAGACGAGGCCCGCCTCCCGAGCCAGGGCGCCCCGGCCTGCGCGCGCCCGCGTCCCGCCGCTCCCCGCCGAGGGACTACTTTCGCGGCCCGACTCCTCGCCCCGCGCTACTTCCTGCCGCGGACGCGTCGGCGAGCGGCGCGCACGGCATGGCGGCGGCGGCGGCGCGCGCCTGAGGAGCTGTGTCGGGGTGGGGGGTGGGGGCGGTCCGCCGGTCCGCTCAGGCCTCGGCGCGGCCTAGACGCTCCGCTCGGCTCGCTCGCTCGGTCCCGCCCGCCCGTTCCCGTCCGTCCCGCGCCCCGCCATGGCGGAGCCTTCGCCGGCCCGACGTCCGGTGCCTCTCATCGAGTCGGGTAAGACGCGGCCGCGCGTCCCCTCCGCCCGGCGCCGCGCGGCCGCCGCTGACCGTCCCTGTCCGTCCCTGTCTTCTCCCCGCAGAGCTGTACTTCCTCATCGCCCGCTACCTCTCGGCTGGCCCGTGTCGCCGAGCGGCGCAGGTGAGTGCGGGCGGGCGGGCGGGCGGGAGGGCGGACCGGCGGGCGCAGTAGCAGCCGCAGCCGCCCGGGTCTGACCGTGCGTCTCTGCCGCAGGTGCTGGTGCAGGAGCTGGAGCAGTACCAGGTCGGTCATCCGCCCCTGCGTCCCCCGTCCCCGCGTCCCCGTCCCGCCCGGCCGGCCTCCCGGCCGCGGTGGTCACTCGGACGCCTCTCGTGTCTCTTTCCAGCTGTTGCCGAAGAGGTTGGATTGGGAGGGCAACGAGCACAACAGGAGCTACGAGGAATTGGTGAGCACCGCCCGCGTCCTCCGCGCGCTCGCTCGCTCGCCCGCCCACCCGCGTCCCCGGCCGGGTCTCTGCTCCCGTGCGGGCTCCGCGGGGACGCTCGCGAGGGGTCCACGGTTGCCCGGGGCGACCGGCCCGATTCCCCCTCCCCCCCAGGCTCGCGGTTGGGCCGGGGGGAAGATTTGGCAGAAAACGGTCCTGGGGGCGGCGCGGGCACCGGCGGGGGCGTCCCTGGCTCGCGGCCTGGCCCGGTCTCCAGGTGCGCCTCCAGCCACTCAGAGGGGCGCTCTCGTCGCCCTCCGTTCGGACTTGTAACTCGAGCTCTCATTGGTCTCCCCTCTCCTGCCCCGCCCAGGTCTTCAGACCACTTGTTCCCTAGGAATAGTCAATAGGTGGAGAAATGGCCCCTTGCTGTGTTCTTCCCGTCCGGTTTTTCCGCCGCTACGTGATGTGCGGCCAGCGTAGTATCTTTGCTTCTCCTAGCCAGGCCTTAGGAAGTTGACTCACGCTTGGACTTGCTGTATGTAGTGGTACAGGCTTTCAAGTTGACATTTCCTCCGACCAGCTATTTTTTGTTTTTGTTTTTCGAGACAGGGTTTCTCTGTAGCTTTGGTGCCTGTCCTGGAACTAGCTCCTGTAGACCAGGCTGGCCTCGAACTCACAAAGATCCGCCTGCCTCTGCCTCCCGAGTGCTGGGATTAAAGGCGTGCGCCACCACCGCCCGGCTTGACCAGCTAATTTTTGAGACTGGGTGTCTTCACTCGCTGTGTAGACCAGGTTGATCTTGAACTCGGAAAAAGCGCTGGGACTAAAGGCCTTCCTTCGTGCCTGGCTTTCTTGGTTTTCTTGAGGAGTGCTAATGTGCTTTTTATCACTTTTCATTATCCTCCCTACACTTGCTTAGACGTTCTGTGGTGGGTAATTGAGCTTTATGCAGTTAACGGAAGTTTTGGTGGGGGGTAGTTTATCGGTAGTGGAACAGAAACGTTCCAGGAAAATGTTTTTGACAATTTAAGATGAAAATTTTGTCTTAATTAAAATTTGATTTGCTAGCCCATGTTGAGCGTGTTGAACACAGAAGATGTAAACGGTCTCTGAATCTTCACTGTTGATTTTTGGCTACATAGGGCTATTTGGCCTGGGCTCGCAGTCCTGCCTCACTGAATTTCAGTCCTGGGCCGGGATTACTCCAGAAGAGAGCCGTCCCACACCTGTAAGCAGTCATAGTCCTAGAGGCGTTAGCAAGAAGTCAGCCAGGGCATTTGTCGCTTGTGAGCACTTAACCATAAACAGTTGGAGTTTTCAGAGTAGGGATTTAACCCAGAATGCTCAGTCGTGCTGGGCAGGTGCTGCAGAGGCTCAGCTCCTGTTCTGTGCTTAGCCAGGTGTTAGCCATCACATTGGGCGCTGCTGAATAGAACAGCGTTGCTGGGTTGTTTAATTTGTCTTGTTAGGATTATTTTTAAAAAGCAAATGCTTCAGACTGAGGTAGCTTTTCATTTAAAAGCACTTCCTGGCAATCGTGACAACAGGATTTGATCCCTGGGACCCCTGTGGAGGAAGAGAACCTACTTCCAGGGTGGGTCTCTGCCATCCACTGTCAAGCGTGTGTGTGTGTGTGCACATATGTACATACTTGTAATACATGTTTAAAAGTGAATTGAATGTTAGTGGATATTGAACCACATTTGTTCTCCTAGGCTTGTGGGTGTGTGCATGCTGGGGTGTGAATCCAAGGCCTCTCCTGTGCTGTACCCACAGGCAGGGTTTTATCATACTCCTTCCCACCAGACAAGGGCTGGGATTTTGATTTACAGCTCCAGCCAGACAGAGAATTACTTGGGAATTACCTTCCCCCCCTTCCTAGCTATCTCCAAGTGTCCTATAGTATGCATCCATCTTTTCCTCTGTGTAGCCCTGACTGTCCTGGAACTCGCTCTGTAGACCAGGCTGGCCTTGAACTCAGAGATCCACCTGCCCTGGCTCCCAAGTGCTGGGATTAAAGGTCTTCACCGCCACAACCTGGCATCAGGTGTTCTTTTTGAAAGTCTAGGGAACGTTTAAGTTGTTTGTCTCATAGTTTTGCTCCTGTTAATGTAAGTCTTTGAAGGGGGGTGGGAACAACGCAGACCCATTGTTGACACTGCCTTCCTTTTGGGATGAAGCCATGTTGTAAAGTCCGGAGAGGAGTTTGCTTTCTTTGACTTTTGTTGGTAAGAATTGCTTGAACCCTACTTCAGGTGCTGGTATCTACTTCCTGTGGCTGAATAGCCACCTGACTGATTGCTATCGGAGTATCCTTTCTCTCACCATCTCACCCCTGACTGAGTCAGGGACACCTGTGGCTTACCTGCTGAGCCTCTCATTTCAAGGCCTGCACAGCCACCTGGCTAAAGAACCATTTCTTTCTGAGGGTACGGCCAACATGAAACTCGCCATCACAGATTGTGTGTTGGTGTTTTCTGAGTCCTTAATACTTTTATAACGTTTTTTGCAGAGTGGGTGGGATAAGGCTGGGTCTGATGTAGCCCAGGCTATCTGGCCTTGAGGTCTGTAGCTGAGGATCCTGATATTGTTGGGCTTATAAGTTTGTAAATATAATTTTAAAACCTTTAATAGTTTATTCCCTGTGCTGTCATTTTACTGAAGAAGACCAAAAGATTTGTCATAGTATTTCCCATGTTTATTTTCTCAGTGGTTCCAGTCCTTTGATAAGAATCATTTGGCGGACCAGTAGGTGGTGGTGTGCACATCTTTTTTTTTTGATTTTCGAGACAGGGTTTCTCCGTAGCATTTGGTTCCTGCCCTGGAACTAGCTCTTGTAGACCAGGCTGGCCTCGAACTCACAGAGATCCGCCTGCCTCTGCCTCCCGAGTGCTGGGATTAAAGGCATGCGCCGCCACCACCGCCCAGCATGGTGTGCACATCTTTAATTCCAACACTTGGGAGGCAAAGGCAGGTGGATCTTTGTGAGTTCGAGGCCAGCCTGGTCTACAGAGTGAGTACCAGGACAGTCAGGGCTGTTACACTGAGAAACCCTGTCTTGAAAAACAAAACAAGAAAAGCAGAAAGAATGAAAGTGGGGACTGAAGAGAAGGCTCAGTGGTTAAGAGCCCTGGCTGCTTGCTGTTTCAGAGGGACACGAGTTCAATTCCCAGTACCTACGTGGCAGCTAAAAATTGTCTGCAACTCCTAAGATCTGACACTGTCATACATACATACAGGCAAAACACTAATACAAATAAGATTTAAAAATACTTGGAATTTACACATTCTGAATGTCCACAGGTACCAAATCAGTCAACTGGGAATCTACTATGGTATGTCTGGGCACTAGTAATTTTATAAGCTTTCCAGGTGGTTCAAATACAGCTTCTGCAAAGTTATGCTTTATTTTAATTTGTGACGGTACTGTTAGTCTGACTTGTATTTAGGAACAAGAGTACCTTTACCTATTAAGAATTGAGACCAGCTGGGCGGTGGGTGGTACACACCTTTAATCCCAGCACTCGGAAGGCAGAGGCAGGCAGATCTCTGAGTTGGGGGCAGCCTGGTCTACAGAGCTAGTTCCAGAATAGCTAGGACAATTACGTAAGGAAACTCTGTCTCAACCAAGAAGATGCTGAGACAAAGGCATTGGTTGGCCAACTTGGGCTATATAGAGAAACTGTCCAGGACCAAAGCCTAGCCATAGGAGGTCTCCCACCTCACTGTGCTGCAGATTGGGATTGAGTCTTGTTTTAGATTTATTTTTTTAAATAAATTTTAAAATAATTTTTTAAAGGTTTGTTTATTATGTATACAATGTTCTCCCTGCATGTGTCCCTGCAGGCCAGAAGAGGCATCAGAGCTCATCATAGATGGTTGTGAGCCACTATGTGGTGCTTGGGAATTGAACACAGAACATCTGGAAGAAACAGCCAGTGCTCTTAAGCGCCGAGCCACCTCTCCATCCCCGGGATTGAGTCTTGGCTGGATGGCATTAAAAATCTTCTGTTTACTTTGTGTATGTGCATGCCTGCCACATTGTGCCCATGCAGGTCAGCCTTCTCCTACAGTGTGAGTTCCAGGAGAGCCATCACGCGGTATTTGAGCAGCATTTTTATAGGCTAGTGTTTCCTTAGCCAGGAAGAGAAAGCAGTTCATCCTTACATTGTACTGTCATTAGGAGATCATGATTTTGAATGTTTACATAAACTTCTCTTAGAAAACTATAGTATGTAGTCCTAGCTGACCATGGTGGACCTTAAATTAGAAATCTGTTGAGGAATTTTGTTTTCGGTTTGTTTGTTTTGAGACTGGGTTTCTCTGTGTTACAGTCCTAGCTGTCCTGGAACTAGCTCTTGTAGACCAGGCTGGTCTCGAACTCACAGAGATCTGCCTGCCTCTGCCTCCCAAATTTTGGGATTAAAGGTGTGCGCCACCACCGCCCAGCTAGTAAGTCTTTATTTTATTTTTTTAATGTATTTGTGGGATATGACTCAGTGGTTAAGAGCACTGTCTGCTCTTTCATTAGGACCTTTCCAGCACAGTAGTTCACAACTGTCTAACTTTAGTCTTAGGGATCCAGATGTACATGCAGGCAGAACACATAAGCAGGATTATTACACATGGTTTCTGTGTGTATGTGCACGTGAGCACAGAGGTGCTCTCAGGCGGAGTTAGATCTGCAGTGCAGTGCTGGAGTGAAGAGCCTGTCTGACATGGTCCTGAGAGTCCAGCTCTGGTCCTCTGCAGCAGTAGCACTTACTCTCCAGACCTCTTGAGCTTTTTTATTCTTTGGTAAATTAGTTCATCTTTGTCCTAATCTCTGCTTTGCCTCTCCTTCCTCTGTTTTCCTCTCCCATTTCCTTCTTCCTGTAACCCAGGGATTTGTTCTGTTAGTCCTGGCTGATCTGGAGCTTGATGTAGACCAGGCTAGCCCTGGGTCTTGATGTAGACCAGACGAGCCTTGAGCTTTCATCCAGCCCCCTGCTTCTGTCACTTTAGTGCTTGCTGGCATT